GAGCAGACGTACAGATGACAAATGTGTGGAGGAGCAGGAGAATTTGGGAGAAAAAGATGAGAACCTATTTTTCACTCGGAGGTTAGCACATTTGCCCTGAACACAATGCCAAAACCTAATGAATCAGAAAGTGTAATTGTTACATAGACTAATTTCAAAACAGTGCTACTCATTAAAGATTGAGGGAAAGAAAAAGAGCATGGATTTCAGACCTTTTATTCAAATTTTGTCATATTAGCTCCTCATTGGTAATCTTTTTATGGTTCCCATTTATTCAATTCCTCATTCACAGGATTCTGTCAAGGCTCTCTAATACGTGCCAAGCACAAGCTTCATTAACTGAGTTATCTTTCAGCTCTGCTTTATCTGTGGTTACCAAGCCAGTGTTAGTTAATGACATTTTAATGTTAAAATAAACCAAACAAAAATGCAACATCAAAGCAACTTGATTCCCATTGGTGTTTTTCACAGTCAGATTTCCAATGTTTCGTTACATTTGAATACTGACAGATTTCATGTTTGACGCACTTCACAGACCCATTAGGGAAAACGAGGCTTATGAGGTGTTCATTAAGTTCTGAGCTATTTAGACTTCCACAGTGCCATCCTGTCTCCTAGAAATGTTGAACTTCATCTCTGGGACTCTGTTTCATTGGCACCTGGTGTCTAAGACTGAGAGGACTCCTTTGCTATCGACACATCTCCTCTGCTGTCTCTTTGAGGCAACAATCATCCCATCAGCTGTGTTGCTTGACTCCAGAGACTGCTACAGATCTGGAGGGGTGGAGGAGAGGTGTTTTACAAGGTGTTTTTTGTATTCCTCAGTACTTTGTTAGCTGAGCTGGTCCTTCTCAATAGCATTTGTCAGGTTTTTCATTCCAACAACAAGTAGAGAGGAAGTTACAAGCTCCATGTCCTTTTGGAAGCCAAGAGGAAAATTGCTAGTAGGAAAACGTTGAAAATGATCTCTTTTTGAATAAGCCAAGATAACTTACAAATATTCACAGTTAGCCATCTTGGGTCTTGCAAAACCTGGTACAATTTCTGCAGGGACCACTATGTTCTGCTCCCCTAGTGTTCTGAATTCCTGTGGTGCCGTTGTCCCAGCAAAGACTTGCTGTTAGATGTAGAAAGCTGTAACTGGCTTCCCCTGTATCCCACCAATTTGATGGGATCTGCAAAAATTCAGTGCTGCCTCAGGAGCTATAAATATACGGTCTTTGTATGTAATATATAGCAGGATAATCAGGGTGTCTTCCCACGGTATAACATTTGCACGTATGCATGATGTAAGAAAGCCACTGCAGCCAGCATTAAGATTCTCCTAGCTGTGAGGAAATACAACCACACACTTTACATCACTCAAACATTATGGAACAAGCTAAAAAGATCATGTTCAAATAAGGACAAGTTTGCAGTTTTAGGACAAGAAAGAATTTGCTTTATGGGCTTCCCTTGTCTTTTGAAAATCCCACAGGATCTTTGGTGACTGCAGAGGGTTAGAGCCTGAATAGTTTTGTCACATCAAGAAAGTCCTTCACAGCTGCA